GGCTGGCACGGGGAGTGCTGTCTGTGGCAGCACCAGGTGAGGCTGGGAAGGAGCAGCTCCTATGTGACTCTGGAAAGTTGGGCTGTCCATGCAGGATGAAGCTGCCTTGTCTTTCTGGTCCTGTCTCTTTTCTCCTCTTCCTGCAGCCATTGCGTCTCTGCCCTCAGCCTGTGGTTAGAGCAGGCAGTGGGGCTGCAGACCTTGTCTCTGGATCTCCAGTGGCCATCCAGGGTTTTGGAAGCCAGCTGTTTCTCCATTCACATTCAGGTCTCTTGGGAGGGGAAGACCTCTGCTGGCATGGCTGAATGGCACCTGGTGGCCACAGAGGCCTGTCCTGGTGTCAGCGACTGGCGGCGATTTCTCTGGATTCAGGGCTCAGCAGGTGGAGGCAGCTCTTGGCCTGCTGTGGTCAAGGCTCACTGGGACCTCTGCCTGGTGGCGCAGCTGGTGCCCAGTCTGGACTGGGGCATGCTACTGGACCTGGAGGCCCTCTTTCTGTCCCCTGCTGAAGGGTCTGTACTTGCTTGCTGGTGGACTGGCCACTGATTCGGTGTGGGGTGTGGGTGCCTTCAGCTGGTGTGCAAGGGGAGCTCCTTGCACAGGGCAGGATACTGTGGGGAGCTACAATCCACAGTGGGGCTTTCATGAAGGATGGTTGTGAGTTGATGTGGGTCTCTAGATGTTTTGGAGGGTGCGTAGCCCCAAGTCTGTGGGTCACGCTGGGAGATCCTGGTGGTGATGCTGAGCAGGGAAGTTGCCTCCCTCTTGGAGCCTGCTGGACCCATGGTGCTCTGCATGGGCACAGTGAAGGCTCTGGGTGCTACACGTGTGTGGAGTGAGCCTGGAGGGTGCTGGAAGCTCTCGGGGACCAACAAAGCCTATAATGCATCTCTGTGACCAAGCTCCCAAGCTCTGCAGGCCGTGCAGTTGGCTCTTGTGAGAGGAGTCCTAACCTGCCCTCAGAGGCTTGGCAGGCAGCGCCGCAGACCTTGCCCTTCTCTGGAAGGGCTGCCTTTGCTCATGACATTGGGCAGGCGACATCGGCCCAAGCCTCCTACCTCCATAGGTGCTGTGGTGGCTGGGCAGAGTGTGGCAGCAGGACCTTCCTCTTGCTCGATACCCATGAGCACACTGTTGGACCTGGGTCTGCCAGAGCAGCCAGGGTGCTGGTGGGACCTTCCATGGACTGATCTGTGGCTCCTGAATTGGTTCCCGCAGAGATCCGCGTCTCACCAACAGGCAGGCCAGGCAGGGTGCTGGGAGTGAGGATGTCCTTGGGCAGGATGGACAGAGACCTGCCTTGCCTCCAGGGAGGTGAAGAAGGGGCTGGTTTTGGGTGGGTCCCTTGGCCGAGGGCTACAACGCTTGTGCCTGGCGTGCTGACTCAGGTGCTGAGCACCCTGGTGTCCTGTGGGGTGCCCCTGTTTGCTCATACCCACTGTAACCATGATGACACGGGAGATGGTGTGTGCTGCTGTCTCCTCATTCCTGGAGGTCCCACGGGGTGGGATCGGTCACCCAGGCTCCCTTTCCCCTGGGAGGAAGAGATGACCTCCTCCTTGTTCTCAGTGCTCTCTTGACCTCAGTGAAGTACCCTCTGGCAGAGGCTGGTCTGCCTGGAGCTGGCCACCGGCCACAGATGTTGACTTGTCACCAAAAATAGACCTTTTGTCATCAGACAGCAGAACATGCTCACTGCCTGCTGTGTCCCACGATGTCCCTGGCTGCACGCCGGTGGGCTCTGGCCAGACAGCCACCTCGAGCCTGGCTCTTGGCCACCAGCTCCTGGGAGGTTTGGTGCCCCCGGTGCTGTGGCAGGAAGGAGCTGATGACTGGCAGGTGCCATTTGCGGTGCTGCAGACTTGTGGCCAAAGGGGGCTCTGGCTAGTAGGAGGACCGGAATGCCGGAGCTGGAGAGCAGCGGCTATGTGCTGGCTCTCGGCTGGAAGTGGGGCTGGGGGGAGCCCCATGGCCTGGAGTGTGTGGGCTGTCTTGGGGTCACGCCGGGCCTCGGGGCGGCTGCCATCACCAGCGTCCCTGGGGGCTCCCTGCTGGTTCCTGGCTCTCCAGTGTTCACACAAGGATGGTCTCCGAGTACTGCCGAACCTCTGCCAGCAATGTTTTATGTGTTTTAATGGGCAAGATTAATATTAATTTGCACTTTTATTTTCTTTTTCTTTTTTATTTAATATTTAGCAGCCCAGAGGACTTCTCCTTCCTTCTCCCACCTCTGGCAGGAACAAAAATAACTCCTCAGCAAGGACTGGATGTGGCAGGCGAGTTTGTGCTCGGCTCCAGTCAAGCGCTTCTGCTCACATTTAGCTGTAGGCACGTGCTAGGGCCTTTTGCCTGCAGTCCACATGTTCGCGTGCTCAGCAACCAGCCTGTGCCCAAGCATTGGATGAGTGAGGCACAAACGCTCTCTGTGTGCAGGAATGGGTTTTATTCGCATCAGCAAAGCTGCTGAATAGGTTAACTAATAATTTCCAAATCTTCTCTGTCGGGGTGTTTGGGGGAGCAGAGGCTTTGATCAGCACCTGCTTACCCAGAAAGGACAAACTTGTTACGGAAAGGCTGGTTTTAACCGGACTATTTCCTTCCCTTCCTTGAGACGGGCTTTGCCAGGCGGGGGAGGATGCAAACCTGCCTTGCTGCTGCCCTTGAGAAAGCACCTGCAGGGTGGCACGCTATGAAAAAGCAAGTTAAAAGCAGAAGGGAGGAAGCAAAGGCACTTGGGCTGAGTGACCACTCGGGTCCTTCCATCAGGTCAGTTGTTCTGGGTGAACTATCTTTGCTCAGGATGTAGATGGAGATTGTGTGTTTGAAGAACTTTTCTCTAGATTTCCCTTATCTCCTTGCTTCATCTGGGCCTTTCCTTTTACTGCTGCCTCTGCTGTCTTTGGGGCGATTCTGCTTCTCCTTCCCTGCCCCGAAGCAGCAAGGCTCGGCACAGCCCTGTCTGCAGCTCCCTCCTGCAGCACAGGAGGGCAAGAGCGAGCTGTCAGGCACGCCGGTCCCCAGCCTGGCGGCTGCTGCTGCTTCTGACAGTCTGTTTTCTTCCTTCCTATTTACATCTGCTTGTGTTTCCCCTCCGGGATGGTCCTGCCATGCAACATTAAAGGGAAAGGGAGGGCAAGGAGTGCGGTGTGGGATAGTTACGCTGCAGGAGGAGACGTTGCTGAGCTTTAGCACACGCAAAGTTAGGGATGAGATTAGGGAGTGCAGAGCGGAGACCCCCTTGGGGGCACATGGGGATGGCAAGCGGTAACAGGCTGGCCTTATGTGCACCCTCTCTCTGCCTCCCATGATCCCTGAGACACCTTTGTGATACCGATGCCTGCAGGGCGTCTATCTGTCTTGCTGGCGCTATCGGGTGTCCTGGCAGGTCCTGGTGAGTTTTGCCGCCTTGTGTGGCAGGAGTTTGAAGACTTTGGTTCCCCAGCCCTCACCAGAAGAGGTTGGCAGAAGGTGGCCAGACTTAGGCATCTGCCACTCCTGGTGGCTGGCTGCCACATCGTCTCGTTATCCAGCAGGCTTGAACAGGTTGCAGGGAAGGACGAACACTCAGATGGTGCCCCCTCCTTGGTGCCTCCTGTAGCCCTGTTCTTCCTGCATTCCTTTTTTAGACCAGTGTGCCTGGGGGAAGGAGCCTTGTCTCTGCCTGCTGGCTCCTTCTTCCAGCATCTCTTTGGGGGTGGAAAGGACAGCAGCTCTGCTGGGGACAAAGGCTGAAGTTCAAGGAGGGATCTCAGCAGCAGGAAGGCACATTCTGCCCTTAAGTAGTATTGGGGTGGGGAAGTTGCCAGGCTCTCCTGCCCCCCCTGCCATGTTCCTGCCTAGTGCCGTGGATAAATGTGAACTCGAGTGGTGGGAGCAATGAAAGCTGTGCCCTGGGTCAGCTTTGGTGTGGAGATGGCCGGAGTCCCGTGGGCCAGCACTGTGCCGGGAGCAGAGCCTTGCTGGGCTGGGAGCCCTGCAGCCTCCTGTCTTAATGGGAGGCATCCCCAAATCTGGAAAGAGAACATGTCTTATGTTTTGCATGTTGTTGCGGTCCAGGATGGAAGGGGATGTGTTTCAGTTCGTGTTGCTACAAACAGCTTGGTGACTGCATGCAAGTCTTATGTGCCTCAGTTTCCCCACCCCTAAAACTGCACCAGACGGTGTGCCTGCTGAGCAGGGACCCAGCACCCTCTGGGTTTCTGTCTGGTGCAGTGCCAGTGGCCCGTGCTGGTAGGTTGCATGTCCAGGCGGCTGCTGGGAGAAGGAACGCCTGCAGGGTGACCTCCTTCAGGTGGGATGGAGGCAAGCTGGGCCTTCACATCTGCTTTAGCTTCCCCCGGAGTCGCAGGGATGTCCTGCAGGTGGGGACGGTGGTGAGCATGTCTCAACAGTGGGGTCTCTGATGGGGAGGTCAGGAGAGACACTTTCTGCAGTAGCTGTCACCTTGGGCAGGTTTGGATGAGCAGCCTGGTGTGGGTTAGTTCTTCTCTGCTGCAAGTCCCTCTGCCCTCCAAGGAGGGGAGCAGTACCTTCCCCACTGGGCTGTGAGTGTAGGCAGGGAGGGACGTGGACAGTTTGGGCCTGGATCAGCCTTGTTTAGGAGCAGGCACCTGGTTTGGTGTGCCCGATCATGCTGGGCCATTGTGTTTACACCGGTTCATGGTGGTCTCCTGCCTCCATGCTCGGCAGGTTGAGGTTTTGGCTGGTTTTAAGCCTCTCTCTTCTGACGCTGTCTGTCTGTCCCCCTCGATCAGGTGCCTCCAGAGAAGTGCCGCTTCGCCATAGGCCGAATCCTGAGCGAGGGAGACGCAAAGCCAGCGGAAGAGCAAATCAAGCGGTTCCAGAAGTATGGCTTCAAGATCTTCTCCTTCCCTGCTCCCAGCCACGTGGTCATGGCGACCTTCCCATTCACTACGCCATTGTCCATCCATCTAGCAGTCAACCGTGTCCACCCAGCCCTTGACACCTACATCAAGGTAAGCAAATGTGGCATGAAGAGTGTCACGTGTGTTCAACAGACTGTCAGAGGCTTCTCTTGCTGACAGCTAATGGGGCTGCTCTGATGTGTTATGTCTTGATGTCTTCCCCTGGGCACTACCATCAAGATCTCCTTTTGCAATCTGGCAGGTAGTTCCCCATGAGGGATGTCCTCCCAGTCGCTCCATAGGCACAGGGGTGTCTTTTCTGCTGTTTTGTGTTTGAGAAGCAAGTTCTCATCTGATGACTTGCTGCTCTTCTCATTAAATGCAGAGATAAAAGCTGGTTTTCCCCCTGAGTGTCTTGCTTGTTGTTAGGATCTGGCAGGTATGTGCCCCTTCGGTGTAAGGCATCGTGCCATGAAGCTTCTGTTTCAAGTGCCAGCCTCACCGGTGAGGCAGCTGTCTTCTGCAGGGGCGGGAGGAGAAGTTAGAAACTTTATGGCCCATGGGCTTATGAAGACTTGGTTTCAAGTAATACATTGAAATTTGTGGCTCTTGGCCCTGGCTGGGCAGCCGGCTGGTGTGTGCTGTGTTCACCCTTGCCCCCGTGCGGAGCAGGTGGCCATCCTTCATGCTTCTGGTCTTTCTGAAGTCAGTTCTGCTGCCTTGCTCTGGCTGCCAGACCAGCTGTGGCAAGGGTGTTCCCAAGCAGCACCGCTGACAGGGACACCTCCAGATCCAGGCTTTCGAGAGAGCGAGGATGGTCCTGGCCAGCCGGGCGATGGAGGTGGTGGGGGAGGATGCTGGGGAGGGGCAGGTGCTCAGCCCCTGGCTTATCTGACTGTTGCGTTCTGCCACTTTTGTTTGCTCGTGTTGAAACGCGCTATTTATAAACTTGCTTTTCCTGGCGAAACTCCCAGCCCTGTGAGGGAGCCGTGCGAATCCCTCCAGCCTGCGCTGTGCTGCAGGATGACCGCCTGGGTGCCAACCCCAGAACTTCAGCCGGGGGCTCTTTGCCCACCCTCTTGTCCACCTCAGCCTTAAGCAGCTGCCTGCTGGTACCGGCAGAAGATGCATTAACGCCAGCAGTGGGTGAGACCACCGCTGCTGCTCGTGCCCCCACCCCGTGCTGGAGAGCTGGTGGAGAGCAGAACGAGCTCCCTGTTCTCTTCTCGCTCTATCCTCGCTACGTCTCTTCCTGGAGCTCTGCCGGCTGTTTTGGTGCGGGAGGTATCGGGCGCTGCTGCCCGCCCTCCGGCGGGCGCGCGGGGGGGCAGGGGGGGGG